TAAAAAACTCTATTGAATTGTTTTAATGATCTTTTTCTTTCGATAAGACTAATACTCAAGCACTATATGATAGTCATTTATGTTGAAAGAAACAAAAGTGAAAATAAGATTGATTATTTTAGATATATCTCACTAGCAACAAAATCATAAAACCTTAAATAATTTTCTTTTAACATGCGTGATAAAATTCTTTTTATAATTTTGCACGAAGGAGTCCTTTGAATTAATGCAGATTAGTTTTTTTTTTTCAATGACAATACGTCGTCATGGTTCATTAAAATAATGAGAAAAAAGCTTTAGAAATTTCAAATAGTATATCTAAAGATCAGTGATCTTCTAATTCACTCAACTCAAAACTCGACATGGTATCATATCAATAGATTCATTGATTATCAAAAATGTCAAAATATGAAGAAACAAATAAATGAAGCATACCAAAAGAAATCATTTGAGTTATAATCGCAAAATAATCATCTATTTTCTTTTAAGTATTCATACAGTTGAACAACATAAAAATTCATAATTTTTTATTATTATTACAGTTGATCTTATTTCTTATAAAGAATATCATACAACCAGTTGTAACCTGATAAGAAAATACTTAAAAATATTTTAATGAGATTTTCCATTAAAATTCAAGGTTAATAGAATTTATCTCAATTGAAACATTTGCAAAATATTTGATGTTTTAATCATTAGTATTTATCTGGTGTACTTTTTTCCTGCTTTGCTTTGCTTTGTTTTATATATGATTTAATCTTTTCTTTTTTGTGATGAATATATTTTTGATAATTAGAACAACGTTGGCGTGATCCTGATTTAGAAGAAGTTATTGAATATCTTACTCATACAAGTGATGTTATTAAAGAGAATGCTGCTGCTTATTTACAACATTTATGTTATAATGATGATAATATTAAATCAAAAACAAGATCATTAAATGGTATAGCATATTTAGTTGCTTTATTAAATCATGATAAAGTTGAAATACAAAAAAATGCATGTGGTGCTTTAAGAAATTTATGTTATGGAAAACGAAATGATGAAAATAAAGTTTGACATAAGAAAAAAAAAAGTATTTAGGAAAAAAAATTAATTCGAAAATTTTTCTATTTAGATTGAATTAAAAAATCGTGGTGGTATTCCAGCTTTAATTCATCTTTTACGTCGTACACAATATGAAGATGTTCGTGAATCGGTTACAGCTGTTCTTTGGAATGCATCATCATCGCCACATTTAAAAGGACAAATACTTGATGAAGGATTAAATGTACTTGTTAAAAATATAATTATTCCATTTTCGGGTTGGGATGCTGATATAAATAGACGTTTAAATCCACAAGGAAAATTTCCACCAGTATTTAAAAATACAACTGGAATATTACGGTAATTAAGCTTTTCTTTTTGCCGATAGAAAATTCAATTAAGAGATTATTATATATATGATTATAACGGGTATTTGAGATCAATTTGAAAAATATGTTAGACTTATCTAGTTTTTTGTTAAATGAAGGCTTGAAATACAATTACTGCTTCTTATTTTCAGCTGTATAAAGCTAGTTAGAACTCATCAGGTTCTTTTGAATCCGAGAATTTTTTGACCCGACGAGCTGTAAAAGTTAGTACGGTTAAAAAAATCGTAATTTGTGTCAAAAAAACATGCGCTTAAACACATGATCAAACAGGAGTGTTCACACAATGAAAAGAAATTAAATTATGAGTTTGCTCACTTTATTCCAAATGTTTCTTAGGCATATATGCTTAATGTAATTTATCTAACTCGAGTTACCTATACAATATTTAATGTCTCCTTAAGCTAGTTTTTAAAGTGTGCTTAACTAAGGAAATATTTCTTTTTGCTATCGAAGGCGATTATACAAAAATTTTCATGCACTGCATAAATCTATGAATCTAATGGAATAAAAAAAAACAAATGTTTGAGTCGAAGATAACTAAATATAGGGTAGATTTTAGTCTATTCAATTCTTGTGAATTCATCGTCTATGAATAAAGATTATAGTAAATATGATATATATACAATAATTAATATTCATACAATCAATATATATATATATTTGTATTAATTTAGTAATTGTTCATCAGCTGATTATGAAGGTCGTCGTAAAATGCGTGATTGTGAAGGTTTTATACCTTCACTTCTTCATGCTGTTAATTCAAGTCTTCAATCATTAAATGAAATAGATAATAAATCAATTGAAAATTGTATGTGTATATTACGTAATTTATCATATAAATTACAAGAAGTTGTTGATCGTGATTATGATCAAAATTATCCAGTAACAACAAATACAAGTTCAACATGGAATATGTTACCATCACAATTAAATGAAAAACATAAAACAACTTGTATGAGTTCAAAACAAAAAAAAACTAAACAATTATCTGAACAAACAGGAAATAATATATATGCTGTTATGCCACCACGTCAAGGTCGACCTGTTGAAATGCTCTGGCAAGCAGATGTTATTGGTACATATGTACATCTTTTACGTCATAGTAGTAATCCTGATACACTTGAAGCAACAGCTGGTTGTATTCAAAATTTAAGTATGAAATGTTTTTTTCATTTTAAAATATATATATATTTAAGTGTTTTGTTTTTATTTAGCTGCTTGTTATTGGAAACCATCAATAGATTTACGTGGTGAGGTACGAAAAGCTCGTGGTCTTGCTGAATTAGTTGATTTATTACGTGTTGATGAATGTGATTCTGTTGTAAATGCATCAGCTATTGCATTACGTAATTTAGCAATTGATCAAAAAAATTGTGATGTTCTTGGTGGATGGGCTATTAAAGAACTTGCTGCTATTTTACCTGAACCAACAGAACAAACAACAACTCGACGTCGTCATTCCGATGAAACAATTGCATCTGTACTTGCTGCACTTAATGAAATAATACGTAATAATGATATGAATGCTAAAATATTATTTCAAGAACGTGGTTTTATTAAAATGAAAGGTATTATGAATGCTAAAAGTAATACATATAATTCAAAAGTTATTAAATATACTGCACATGTACTTAATACAATGTATAAACATAAAACATTACATGAATTTTATAAACAAAATGGTTATAAAGAAAATGATTTTCTTAATCATCGTTTATTAAATTCTAAATCATTAACATCAAGTCCACAATCAACATTACATAGACCAAGAGGTGATATGGGACAACCAACACATTTTACAAATAAAGGAAAACAAATAACCCGTCCACAAAGTAAAAAAACAAACAAAACAAAATTGAATATATTTCAATAAGAAAATGTTTCTTATTTAGGAAGTGAAGAATATCGAATGCAAAAAATGAATCAAAGTGTTGATAGTCTATCACGAACATATGGAAATGGAGTAAGTAAAGAAAAATTAAATAATTTATAATTACTATCGAAAAAGCTTTCTTTGCCAATCCTTTCAACAACTATTCAAAAATTATTTCTGGTATTGTGTTTCGAAATAGCGGAATAGTCTTCTGTTAAGCTTGTTTTGCCATCATATAGATTTTGATCTTTTATAGAAAATTCATTGGTATCCTAGTGATTGCAAAGACCGTTCGTTTTGTTTCTCAGCTGATACAGTTTAAAAAATTATTCAGAAGCAACTATTGACAGTCTAAATTCTGTTTGATAGATCACAAAGATAATTATTTAGTAATAAAATGGCGGAATTTATTAGCCTGGTCTTTTGTTTTGATGGTCCTTGGCTGCTTGTCAATTATTTTTTAGTGCTTGAACTTTCGAATACTATTTTATGTTTTATACTAAAAAAATTTGGTCTGTCACTAACGATAATGTAGAGCACAGTATGGATACAAACCCATTCAAATCTTTTCAGAAAATGATGAACCAATAACAGTCATCTTCAATTACTCTTGAAGCAATCTCACGTGTATCCTGTCGCAGCAAATTGAGGACGATCAAAATGAGTTTCTCTCATATTTTGAAAGTATTCCTATGAGAAATCAAAGTCATAGGAAAAAAAGCTGTATCATCAGTCTGAAAGGAATATAATACTTCGAAATATAAAGTTTCTCACATAGTCCTGAATGTGACTAACGAGAAAAGCTTATCTACAGAGAATGATAGGCATTTCACTGAAATTTTATCCATACTTAGACCTATATGTAATTAGAATCTCATGAAATTTTCAAAAAAAAAGATCAGATACTAGAGTCTTTCATGAAATATGAATCATATTTGGGAATTGAATATATCGTGAAGAGAACATTAGTTTGAACTAAAATTTTCAGAACATTCTAGTTACACATACATCTATCTATGAATAAAATTTCCAGTAAAAAAGCTGTAACTTTGTAGAGAAGTTCTAGATGTTCTTATCCTTTTCGCGCTATTAATATCTCATTTGAGTCTATATTATATACAAAGTTCAAACTCAAAAGTAATTTTCAAGTTCTAAAAGTTCTCTCGTTAGCACTGTATTAGAATAGTTGCATTTAAATTACGACTTTTAGAAGTCAGACAAAAGAACTTTTAACATGTTATTATGTATGAAACATTTATAATAAAATAAATTATTTATTTTTCTTTTTAGTTAGTATCATCTCATTTCGATCCACATGCAGATTTATATGCAACTGTTCATAAAAATCGATCACAACAAGTTCAACCATCGACATGGAATCAACTTGAACAAGCTTCAGCATCACCTGATTCTTGGGTTTAATCTCTTTATCTTACTTAAACATTGTCAGATGCAAACAATAAACAAATATATATATATCAGCCAAATTGAACGTTTTACTATGTGTATTGTGCAATCTTCATTTAATTACTATTCTACTCATATATAGTCGTGTGATAATCATTTTTTTTTTTGTTCTTCTCTTGTGGCACATATTTATTCAATTGTGCAAATTAATCAACACACTTGATGTATAGAAGTGTTATTTTCTCTTTACTCATGTGTTTTTTTTTCTGTCATTTCATAATATTCTCTTTTATATAAAATAAAAATCAGCGGACAATATATGGTTCTTTTAAACGTGGATCTTCATTAAGTTTATTCTCAAGTTGCATATATTTCTCTGTAGCCAATTCTTTGTGTCTAGAAGAAGAAAAAAAACAACAATTTATGTTTTTGTTTTTGAAAAAGTTTAACAAACCGTTTAAGTCGTTCTTCGAGTGTACGTAAACGAAATTCAGCTTCTTGACATAAACGTTGATATTCAAGTTCATCTTCTTTAGACATACCAATTTGATGTTTTTGATACCATTGTTGTTTTGATACAAGTTCTTGAATTTCACTTTCATAACGTGCCTGCATTAAATTAGCTTTACGAATTGAACGATCTTTAAAATCACGCTGGGCCGCAAGACGTAATTGTTGAGCAAGCTGAGCATTAATTCGTTCAGGATTACCTTTAGATAAAAAAAGAACAAATGAATTAAATGAAGAAAAAAAAAAAAGAAGTTCTTGTCATAACAAACCAATAGCAGCAAGAAATGGTGCAAGATAATCAACATCATGAATTTCTTTTTTACGTTTTTCTTCATCTGCTTTTTGTTGCTAAAAACATAAAAATATGATTTAGTTCGATTTTTTTATTTTATCGAAAAATTAAACAAAAATATCATATATAGTTACACACAATCTTTTGTAAGCAGTCTTTAATTAAAGGTTTGAATTCTGAAGTCAATGGATTTGTCTTTCTGGAGCCTGTGACACTTGCAGAGCTAAGATGAGTACTTTTGATAAAATTCAAGTATTTTAATTTCTATGTCACTTGAGATAAGTTTATGTGTAATAGACTCAATTTATTTATCTCCTTAAGGACTGCAAAACGTTTCTATACACTTTTCTGATGTAGGCTTCATTCAATGGAAAACTCTGTTTAAGTTCAGCAAATACCTGTAATTTTAGACACTATTGTTGCTGTTTGTCAACAGATTTAAAGGGATTGGTATGTATCGGTTTGTACAGTGAAGGACGGTAAGTGAATTTACTTTATTTGGTTTATGTTTTATACAAAATGAAAAGGTATTATTAAGAAGATACAACAAATAGTTTGTACAAATACCAATTCTAGTTCTAGGTTATTTTACCACGTATTATGTGTCTCTGCTGTGAAAAATAGAAGTTCACTCTTCCGAAATTTTAAATCGCTTCTTTGAAAGAGGTAAATTTATTGCTGATTATGAATGACTCAGATTATTTTAAGAGAATACTTTTAGGACTCAAATATACAATTTGAAATATCGTCTCTCTCATTAGCTTGATCAATACGTAGTTTAGGCATGTACTGAGCCTGAGCTGCTCGGTCTAGGCTCAAACTCGATACATGCCTAACATAGTTCAGATAATTCAGCAAATTTTTACTTCCTGCACCTTTATCTTTCAAATGGTGAAAACAGCAGGTTTCTAGCTACTTTCATTCTTGAGATACTCAAAAACTATCAAGGTACATAAGTTCTAATTAGATTAGCTTACCAATAATTTTCTGTATATTTTAGATTTTTCATTTCTATCGATATCATAAACATTAATTTCAAGATCACTTGAAAGTTCTTCTTGTTGGCGACGAGATTGAAGATCACGTGTCTTTGAAAATGAAAAAAAAAAATTTAACAAATAAAAATGTACATGATATTATATTTACTTCATCTTCAGCTTTTCGTACTCGTTTAACAACTTCTTCTTCTTGTTCAATAAGTTTTAACATTTTATAATAAAGATCACGTTTAGACATTTGTTTAAATTCTTCATCAGCTTGATAAGTATCTTGTAAATCTTCATTCCATTGTATTGTAAACGCTTTGTCATTCCAGTTCGACTAAATTAATAAACATTGAAAAATCTTAATTGCTTTCAAACAGCAAAATAATGTTCTATTGTCTTGTTTTATAAAGAGAAAAGAAAACTTACCGGTTTGCAAAACGTTCTGTAAAGAAAAACTATTCAAAAATTTATTTAAATTATTTTTAATGAAACTTGCCTAGTTGATGGTGTAATATGATTAGCATCTCGATGATAAGTTATTACAAATTTATTTTCTTTAATAGCATAAGCTAGTTCACGAACATCATCATTAGCATTTAATTGTAAATTACGAGCATATCTTTCAGTTATTGACTATTGATAGATAAAAAGAAAGAAAAAAAGATTTGTTTTTCAATGAAGAATATAATTACAATAATTGGTCTTTGAGTATCTTTATCAGCTGGACCGAATTTTTTTGGTCGAGGTTCAAATACAGCTTTACGATATTCAAGAAAATCATCACGATTAACAAAATAATCAGTTAATTCAAGTACTGTTTCATGTCGTGTAGCTAAACCATCTAAACGTGCTTTATCATAATAAATCATTATTCGTTCAAATTCTGGTCCAAAACCATATGTATGCTCTGAATATAGATAATAAATACAAAAATTTTATATCAAAAATTAAAATGCATTAATTTTTTAATTTCGCTTATCTTAACTATGAAAAATTAGAAAATACAGAATGTTCTAATTTCTACCATTCTGGTTGATAAAGTAAACAATACAAGTTATGCGAATGATGAAGCATGATATTCTGAGAAAAGATTAAATGTATGAATGACAGTAGGAATGTATAATGTTTGTGTAAGTACATTAAATTTCTTCATGAAACTTTGACAAGAAGAAGAAGGAATACTTCCGTCTTTCAACTACCTCGAAGTATGAAGTACTGTCTAGTGACACATTCATTAGTCTGATATCTTTTCTACAACTAATACTAGTCGTAGTTCTCAACAGAAGATTCGCTTGACGTAGAGTTCTTGCTTTCAATTGCTTCGGGTTCCCATACACATTAACTAACCACCAGAATAGTTATACATTATAGTGTTGTCAATATGCTATCGAACGGATGATTCAAGACAAACAGCCATTAGTGACTTGTTCAGGATCATTTCATGATTGATAGTATCAAGTTCTGAACATAGTATCTGGTAGATACGTGTCCAACTACATAGTCACTCAATCATGACAAAGACTTCGACAAATTTCAAGGCTGAAATCTCTACTGTTTCTCTGTCGTACTGATACCCGCGTTCGCTGCACAATTAAACCGTCGGCTCTATCAAAATATATCCTATTTGTAGGAGTGTGTTCCAATGCTTCAGTGAACACTGACTGAGTAACATCGGTAGTCAGTAAACTGAAACCACACATCTATAAATAGCTATCATCTATGATTTGTTAGAAAAGTTTCGTCCATGTTCTTATTCCTCATGTTTAACACGATAATAATGACATAAATTTAGAGTAAAATCTTTACAAAAGTCTTGAAAGTTATTAAAAATAACCTGTAGAATACATTTGATTTTTCTTTCATAATTTTTTACCTTTTAAATGATCACTTCGACCTGGTAAATAATTTTCATAGACCATATTAGTTCGTACATCATGTTCACGTACTTCAAGTTTATCATGACGATGTTCATATCTGTGTGTTACATAAATAAGTTCTTTAACTAAATTTTCAATGAAATAAATTATTTATTTTTTTGTATTTAGATTTTATTTAAACTTACAATCATAATCAGCAAATTCAGATACTTTAAGAACAATTCCATCTTTCATACTATATGGAGCATATTTTTCAACACGAGTTTTTTTATAAAAATATGTTTTACGAGAACTTGGATAACGTTTTTCAAAATCTGAAGAAAAAAAAAACAAACAAACGAAAGAATTCAATGTATAACTATGTTATATGATTATACCTTTAGGTGTTACATTAAGAGGAAGAACCCACGAGGGAGGTAATTCAATATCTTTTTGAGTTGCTTCAACATTAGGCTATTGAAAGAACAAAAATTTAGAAATAAATATTAAGACAAAACAAACTTACTTTTTCTTCTTCTTCATCAAGAATTGCCGAACCACCTAATGTATTCAATGAAGTTGTTACTGCTCCACGTAAATTACTTGAATAAGTAAACATAAATTCCCACCGAGCTTGATCATTTAAATCAAATTGAAGTGACTAAAAATATAAAATATTTATGTTTTTATTTATAAAAATTTACATAAAACAAAACAAGAAATACAAACTTCACAACCATTTGAACAATCTTGCATATTAACCCATAAATTTTGATGATTCCAAACACTTTCAATACCCAAATATTCAGTATCATTTGTTGCTTTACCATAACCTGTTGTTGGTTCAATAAAAAATGCTTCTGGTACTTCACGTTTACCAGGTAAAACAAGTATCCAAGAATGTACACGAATACCATAAAGTGGATCAGGTAATGGTTTTTCTATTTCCTAAATCGAATCAAATACGAAAGAAAATATGATAGAGTATTAAAATGATTGATAGATTATTCGAAAATATATAGCTCAACAGGTCTAATATTTTCAGATCCAATCGAACCATATTTTGATACTCTTAATGATTTTTTTTTTAATCGGAATAGAACAGTCGCCTTGAGGGCATTCACATCTTGATTTGAATCATTCAAAAGATTTTTATAATACTTAAAGTGTTTTTTATTATATCTATAAATTTAAATTATTTATCCTTTGATTACCGACATCGAAGAGAAAAAAAAAAAAATTTTTCATAAAAGTCATTATAACTATTTATAGTACGGCTCTAGCATATGCCATAACAAAATAATGATATAAAAGTTTCTACTGCATGACATCTGCTTTTATGAGAATGTATATAAACAAACATGCATTATATAAACGATTACATTAGTTTCATGTAATGATAAAATTCTTGACGCATTTTATACGTCGTCGGTAAGTTCAAAGGAAATTTTTAAGCTTATAATTTGATCAATCTATTAATACTTTCAATATAAATATTATTTTAAAAACTTACAGCTATTCGTTTATTTTCTTCTTCTTGATGTCGATCTTTATCTGCTTGAATTTTATTCAAACCTCTTTGATGCATATAAGCATCATATTTCGATGTTAAATCTTTTGGTGGTTTAACAGTATATTTTTTAGTTAGCGTTTTCATTTGTTCCATACGTTCCTAAATTTATTTGTATGAAAAAAATTAAAAAAAAAAAAAAAAAATTTTCTCTCGATAAACATACTTCATGTTTTTTCTTTACATATGGATTTGGTAATCGAGTTGTATCCATATAACAAATTTCTCTTGTAGCATATCCACTTACAACATATGCATCATATCCAGCACCGATTAATAATGAACAAAGAAGATTAGCATAATCAAAACAATTGCCACGTTGATCAGCAAGAACTTTTGTTGGCGACCAAAGTGTTTTCGGCTAGGAAAAAAAGATTTATATTGAAATAAATGATTGGTTTTTTTTCTTTCTAATAACATACAAGTTCATGTGCTGGTTCTAGTAATTCATAATTCAAATGATCAGCAATAAATTCAGCTGCTAAATTCCATTGAAATAACTCAGAAAATGCAAACATTGTTGGTTCAATTGTTGTACAAACAAATTTCTATGTTTTTTTTTTATTTAAGAAAAATAAATTAAATGAAAAGAAAAAAAATGCTGCTGAATAAGATGATCATCCTTCATTTGAAAAGGCATCTATTCTCTTTTCTAGAACAACTTGTGTTGCATCAAATGATAATATAGGAAATTACATTTTCATCAAGTTTTATATTCTCAGACGCTATACATCAGTTAATGGATATTTTAGCAATTGTGGATATGGCTTAGTATGTGTTTAAAAGAACCTATATCAAATTTTGTTTGAGGTTACTTCAATAGAGTTTTGTCTAATCTTCAATGGTATATATCTAATAATAGTCACAATAGTCTGCTTCCTATCCAAAACCTTAGTGTTGTTACTAGCTTCTGTAATTTTTGACTTTTATGATGTTTTAAATTCTTCGATACTGATTCTGTGAGTAAAGACGACCAACCATGCTACTTTCTCATCATGCAGCTCAATAAGTATACTAATTGATTTTCCTCTGAATTGCTGTGCGTTATGGTCAAATCGGTCGAATAATGGTTAAAAAGATCAATTTTTTTATTTCTAAGGATAAACGAAAGATCCTTAATATGTGAAATGAGCGAGGATGATGAACTTATTATTACTATATAGAAAATTTTTCAATCAAAAAATATTTATCACAAAATTCATAGTTTTCTGCCCTTAGAAATCGAAATTTGGCTTTATTTAGGCATTTTTCGGCCGCTTTGACCATAACGCACAATAATTCAGAGTACAATCAGTCTTAAAGAATTCAAAACATTATAAAAGCTAAAAATTACAAAAGCTAGTAAAAATACTAAGGTTTTCGGTACGAAGATAACTTTTATAAGTATTATTAAATATACAAGATTGAGGTGCAGATGCAGATAAAACTTTATTGAAGCAATTTTAAGTAATATTTGATATAGGTTGTTCCGGACATATGCTGACTCACACCCATAATTGCTCAAACATCGTTTTACTGAATAGATGACTTTTCAAATGAAGGCTACTCAATTTATCCGACAGAATCCTCTTGTAATTTCTTTTTCTTTTTTTTTTTGTTATATTTACAGGTACACCACATTCATTTAATGGATTGAGAAATATTGGTTTTCGATCACGATAAATATAATGATATTGACGACGAAAATTTTCAACAAATGTTAATATTAATTCTTCTTTTTTAGAATTTTTTCTATATGATTCTGAATAATCTTCTGGATTATCACAAGTAACAAGTGGTCTAGAAGAAAAAAGCTTCAATAAAAAAGAAATCCAAAACTAATTATACTAACGGAGGAAACATATCCGGAGCAATAATTGGTTGTAGTTTAGGTTTAGGTTGTAAGATTTCTTCCTGTTCTTCATTGATTAAAGTAGTTTGAAAATCACTTGATGCTTCGTGGATATCTGCAGGTTCTTGTTCATTATCACTAATGTCTTGTGCTGGCTGTAAAAGAAGAAAAATAGAATTTTGAGAATTTATTTTCATTTTTTAGAAAAAAAACGAAACCTCATGTCCATTCGTGTTATTTGAAATATCAGGAACAGCTGGATCCGTCATTGTTGATGAGAAAAAGCTTCGTTTTTTATTTTGCTGACTAGAAACTGTTTCTATATCACCATTTAGTTGTTTAATGCCATTGACAACGAGGCTTGTAATGTAATTGGTTGTTTTAAACCAATCGAATTTTGTTTGTCATTCAATCAAACAAACATATACATTGAAGAGAATCATCATCAAGAGTCTGTTGTGAACTTATATGTGACTCGAATATAGGATGAATAGTTATATGCATTTTTGTGTGCAAATAGAATTTACTGTCAACTCAATTGTACCGTTTTAAAACTACACAGATATGAAAAAAACATCTCTTTTTGAAAATACAGTATCTGTTTTCTTTTCACATCGAAAGTTGATATAAAAATTTTGCAGTGTCTTTCAGAAAAGGGAATTTGCGAAAAAAAAACCTATTTTATTTTATCCTGCTTTTTTTTTCAATATAGTACGATTCATTGCACTCAAGATTTTGTTTATAAATATTTCAATTGAACTGAAAAGCTCTTTTTGTTCAAACTTTTCTTTCTACTAAACCTCGAAGTACAATACTTGGTTCGAATTTAATTTCCTATCGTAAGGAAAATTTACACATCTTGTAAAGTGATAACAATCAGAAAGTTTTATTATATATCAAGATTCATGTAGACAATAAATGTAAACAAAACATTTATTGAGTTTAATTATACTCCTTGTGCACATACAAGAGTCCTGCTTGAAGTATTAATTGAAATGAACAGTATGAGTAATATCGACCCGGAGTAGTATTAACAATCGAAATTACATATAATAATTTGTCTGGCTGTTTAACATTGTCCATCAAATGATTTCACGTTGAAAAATCCATCTTAAAAAATTAGTCTTCATGAAATTGTAGCATTGGTGAATCTATATTACTTTTACAGTTAAATAAATAATTCAACTTTATCCCTAAAGATGTTTTTATAAGTATATTAAAATCATCTGAATTTTTAATAAAAGAAATGTATTTTTAATCAATGTCAATTCGCGCACGAACAATTCTTAGTCGGGTCACAAATGTTACCGAGTCGAACGACGTTATTTTTGCCATTTTTTCGTTCTACGTTTATTTTTAGAAAGAACGTCAACAAGTTTCTCATCACGCGATATCTTGTTCCTAGCTTATATACATTAAAACAAAAATAAGAAAAATCACAAATAAAATATAATGACACATCTACTCAAGATATTAATCCAAAAATGAATAACAATAAAAAGAATACCAATCTTTTATAAACAAAAAAAAAACAAACCTAAACGTAAACTTATCTAATCTACAAGTAATTATATATCTTATTATACTTTGGGTATATAAAGTACTGTCAACCAATGATTACATTATAGCGTGCTAGACAGTATAACATATAATGTAATACAAAGCTTTCATTTATTTTATTACATACACGTGTATACACTTCAAAGATATGACCAGAAACAAAGCAACGAGAAAAAACACACATCTACAATAATACGTGTAGACTATCATTTACGACCAGATGAACACATACATTGAATAAAAAGCTTTTGAATAAATCGTTCGAATGCAATGTATTCAATTAGAACGAAAGGTATGAATAAGGGAGATTTTTTTTTGAATGAATGACTTGCCCAGTTCTGTGCGTCTGACATTGTTAAAAAAATGACCGATTTCGAAGTATAATTTCTATGAATTCTGGTGATTTGTACAAAATTTTAAAAAAAAAAGATGTTTTTCGAGAATTTTCATTTTTTTCGAATCTCAAAATCAATAGTTTGAAATTACTATAGAAAATCAATTAAAGTTTCAATCTTTACCAAAGCATAACTGATAAATTTTGTTTTCATCATCAAGATCGATCTAATCTAAATTTCCAAAAATCTTTATCAGATCATTCTACAGAAATTTAATAAACAATGAATCAAATGATTCATGCCGTTATTTAGCCATTATTCAATTTTAATAACTAGAAGTAATAGAATGAAAATGGCAGGAGATACTTTATTGTTGGACAACTGCAAAAAAAAAAAGAAAGAAAAAAAGATCGTTTTAATACAAACAGTCAATAGCTTGGATGAATCAAAGTGCATATATAGGAGTATTATTTCTACGAGACAATACAAATTAGAGGCAATGTTAGTTCATGTCCATTTTTTCTTTTCTTCAACAAAATTCTTGCTTTTAGCGAAATGAAAATGCAAGAATATTAGCATGAAGACCACCTTTAAATAATTTGTACAAGAATAAACCATAAGCCGTAAATGTAGCAACAGCATTAATTGTATAACCAAATGTACGTGATGGATGATTGATTGCTGCATCAAATGTATATCGTCTAGATGAAAAGATTCGATTTAATTCATTATTGATGCTTTTTTTTTTTTGTCGAATAAATCTTACCCAATAATAAAAAGAGTTGATAATGCAGGAATAAGACGAAGGTTATTTGGTTCAAGTACAGAAGCTAAAGCTAATTTAGCAGCAGTAAATGCGAGAAATGATTCAGTTGTATTTGTTAACATTCGTTGTGCCATTAATAAATGATGATTATCTTCATTTGCTGTTGGTTCAATTCCATCTAGAATATAAATCTCTAAATATAAATTTAAAGGTCCCCTCCCCTCAAAAAAAGTCAATTTTCGTCAAAAATTTCGAAATTGAGATAAATACATGGGGAGATAGTTCGTCATCTGCTCTTTCATAAAAGATAATTTGTTTTTCGCGTTACTTTATTTTTTCCAAAAATTTTTCAAGATTTCCGTCAACTCCTATTCGAAAAACCAACTGTTTTTTGAGAAATCAAAAAATTTTTTTCGTGTTTTCTCAGTTTCCGCTTTCTCAAAAGTGCATCCCAAATTTCTCCTTTCCGATTCGTTCAATGTATTAAAATTTCTTTTTTGTTTGAAAGAGCATCTCAAGGCGCAGGGCATGACCGTGCCCTTTTTTTGAATTAAGCCTTTGTTTGATTAATATACAGCCATTTATATGATTTTGCTACCATTTTTTTATACTTTTATGAGTCATTGAATTTGTGATCCATTTTTTGCGCTTAAAAAAGAACTGTTTAAAAAAAGCGGCCTCGTCATGCCCTGCGCCTTGAGATGCTCTTTCCAACAAAAAAAGAAATATTAATATATTGACCAAATCAGGACCGAAAAATTTGGGATGCCAAATGAGTAATTTTTGACCCTTTTTTGGTTCATATCTCCCTGAAATCTGCAGATTTTGGGCTGAAAATTTTATGGTAGTCTTCTGTTTCCAACCCCAGCATATCCTGAAAGTTTCATCTAATTCGGACGTTCCTGGGCTGAAATAGATTTTTGAGTGGGTGGGTGGGTGGGCCTTAACAAAACAAAAATCCCAACTTACATTTAGTACGTACACCAATAACACACCAAACTGCTGTAACCATTGAAATTCCCTAAAAGAAATATATATGATTTAGAATTTTATTAAAATGAATAGATGTATATATTCACCTCGAGACCAGTCCATCGAAGGGCATCTTAAAAAAAATTATAAATTAATTTCAAATATGGAAAGATAAAATTAAACATACAAGCAATACGATCAGCAGCTGATGATAATATTGGAATACTCATTGCTGGAATATTTCGATTGGCCAAAAGAAGAAGACCACCACTAACACCGAGACCAGCTAATATATATGCACCATTGTGTTTAAGTTCACATTCAAGTGAACGAGCTGTATCGCATGATCGTGATGACGTTGACTTTAAAAAAAAAAAATTATTTATTTATTTTAAACATTCAATTAACATACTGATTGAGCCATATTTGTTATAGACAGAATTAAACGAAAATGTGTATCTATAAAAGAAAAACAAATATAAACCAGTGAAGGTTTTATTCGAAATGTATTCTAATGTGCATGCGCGTGTGTAAGTAATAGAATAAAAAAAAACAAAAACGGCTATGCGCGTATTTCTCTTCCTCGCACTCTCTCGATTTTTCCTTCTCTCTCTCTCTCGCTCCCTTTCTCTTGCTTTTGCATTACCACGATCCTTTCAAACACACGCATGCATCCCGCAAATCAGAAAAAGAAAACGAGAAAATGACGATTTATACACTAGCTGTGCAACAGAAGCAATGACAAAGAGAAGAACGCAAACAACACTCGACGGTCGGAGAGAGGGAGAAAGAGAAGAAAAGTGTAAAAAGAACGCATATCTTAGCCTAGCTGGCGTCGACTGTCTGCCTTATTTATGCAATCGACGACGAGGATGAAAAAATCGAGGGAGGAAAAGAGTGAAGAAAGACAAAGAAAGAAACATAAGAAGCTTGTAGCTTCAGATCTCATACAGCACAATTATTCTTTTGACCTACACATTTTGCCTAAATATAGAACAGAACTTCGAAGTTAACAGATGTCTAATATTCGCAGGAAAATTAAAAAAAAAGAATTCTATATCGTATTTTTAAAACCCGTTCAACTGTATTATTTTTATTGACAAACATTTAAAACAATATCACACAAAATTTCAAACCAAAAAAAATAAACAATAGTAAATACAATTCATAATCAATTATTTGCATGACAATCACCATTTATTCCCATATAAGCTGGCCAAATTTGTTGTTTAAATGGTAAAAGATCATTATTATCTAATATGATTGAACAATTAGCTAGATTATTTTGTTGACATTGAGTTTTTTTAAAATATAAACGAATACGATAAACAGTTAATTGCCCAAATTGTTTTTTAAATGGATTCAACATTGATACTTGAACTTGATTAATTATATCAGGAGAAATTTTTAATACTGTTTCATATAAACGAGTTTTATTTGTACATAAATCTTCTATATAATGTTCATATGCATCATGGTCCATACCATAAAAATTAACTAACAAAAGGAAAGAAAAAAAAAACTTACAAAAAAAGAAAAATAAATTTTTGTTAATTTACCATTT